CGCCGCCGGGATTGGCGGCTGGGGGCCCGGGGCGCGGCGGGGCCGAGCCGCGGGAAGTTGTCTGCGCGAGGCGCGAAGCGAGTGGGGCGCGAGCCACCCGCGCCCAAGTAGTCACAACTTTGCCGCCCGGGTGGGTACGCGCTCCGGGGCGGAGGGAGGCGAGAGCGGGAGAGCGGGGCGAGGACGCTGGGGCGGGAGGGTCTTCGGGGCAGGCACGACTGGAACCTGAACGGATCGGCCCGCGAGGAAGGGGGAGAAGGTGGTGCGGGGGAGACGTCTACACTGCCCGCGTGGTGCGCCGCCACTGAGTGTGTGAGAGCGCGGGCGTCTACTCTACTTTGCCTCCTGCAGCTCCTGCAGCATATTTATGGGGATCTCCGATGTAACTACCGGTAACTAACACTGCAGCAGTGGTGCCCAGCCCGGGCGCCCCTTGGGAGAGAGCCGGGGAACTGGGGCTCAGGAAGGGTGGCCGCGGCGGTGGCTGTGCCGGGAGCGCGAGCCCGCCGCCCGGCCTGCCCCCACCGCTCTGGGCCGCCGTTCGGCGTCAGCAGCCCGGGCATCTGCGGCGACGGGGAGTGGCCTCTGGCCGCGCCGCCTCCCCCGAGGGCTCCGGCTCTGCGCGTTGCGCCCTCCCGGGGCTGGCCGTGGACCCGGCTCCGGACCGGCCGCCCTCGCTTCTTAGGTTCCTGCCCTCTCACGCCCTGAGCGGACTGCTAGGGCCAGCTTTTTGTCCTATTCACAAGAGTTCCCCTCTGGGGAGAGCTTATGCTCCCATGCAAACCTGAAGTTGCAAGCATTTCCCAGCCCTGATCACTCTTGACGCGGCTTTATAAAACTTGAGGTGTATAGTTAGAACGCTGCCAGCGTACAATATTAAGTCTTTCACCTTTAGCAAAGTATGTCTGAGGAGAGCACAGTTCTCAACCTTGTCCTCCGTTTACGTCACTCATGTGGCTTCTGTCTTCCTTGGGAGTCAGGAAAACACCCTTAGCCGTCGGAAGAGGTTTCTTAATCGTGCAACGTCATTATTTGTATTTACGCTGTTCCGAAGTCTAATTAATGAGGTTAAAGTACCCTTTGCCAAGCAAATAATAATAATATATCAATGACACAGTACCATTATGATTAGTTAAGTAAACCATTAAGATATGGACAGACTGTCAGCATAGACACCACCTAATATTCTGAGTACTGCTAGAGAGAAGCCACTTAATGAATTTGAGCCATACAGTATATGATGCAAGTTATATGCATTTACTATTAATACATATTATTTATAATTTATGTGTGGAATCCACTGATCAAACTGCATTTTCAACAGTAGCCACCAAAACACATAAAGCCCAAGAGAAATAATTTTATATACTGACTGTCCTTGGTTCCCAATCTTTCCTCAGTACAAAGCTATAGTTAGTAAGACCTCCAAGGGGGGGAAAAATGGGGGTTGGGGTAAATAATTTGAGGGCGGAGGCTTTTCTTTCCAGTATTTAAAACTGGAAGAGATCCGTGGTGCCTCAACAGTGCTTGGGAGCAAGTATAGAGCATGCATCTTTTAAAAAGTGTGTATGTTTGAAATCCTTATTCAATGCTCAGAAGGCACTAGGAATCACCGCAAGCTAATATATGAAATTAAAACGTACTAATGTCATGTGTTTGCCTGTCATCACATCTGGCTCACACACTCATATGTGTTCACAGATTCTACATGACCCACTGCAGTGACATGGGAAATCCAAAACCAAAGATAAAACAGAAACTTAGCTTTAAATCTTTTGCCTAAGTAATTAAATTTTGTTTCTAGACTAATGTTAAAATTAATTACTACTCCCTGAACATGCCATTAACAAGAATCAGCAACCCCAAAGTAAGCTCTCAGTCAAAGGGGAGTCACTTTTGTATTAAGAATTTGTCACTGCTGTTCAGCAGTTTTTCACACTGTGGATTATGTATTTCAACATAGCTGGCAATTTCTCATTATAATCATGAGCCAGCCATGAACAGTCAGCTTTGGTGAATGTGTAAGAAAGGAAAAGTCCAAGAAACACATTTTCCAGGCATTCTGCTGCAAAATATGTCACACTGTCCTTCACACAAATAGGTAACCATTGGAGGCATTTCACTATCAAGATTGGCAAAATTTTATCCTGAAAGAGGTATAAAGTTGGTGTGTTGAGGAGGGAGACAGGGAGAGAATGAGAGTACTAGATGATGAGATTTGGTGTGTGTTTTAAAGTAATGAGAAAAAAAGTTGTCTTTGGCAAAAAGCCAACAACCCCTGTTATCATTCTCATTACTTGATGTTTGCTATCCCACAATTAAAAGAACCTGTCCCATTTCCTTTTCTATTTACTGCTGTCCAGTAATTGAGGTACATGTGTTTTTCCTTTGAAAGGTTCTTTATTAACTTTTCTTGTTAACTCTGCATGTGGTCACCTTTGCTGTTCTTTTCCGGGTGACAGCAATGAATCCTGAGGTTTTTTTTTTTCAACTATCCTAAAACTTGTGTTATGTCCCTTGATCCTCATAAGCCCAAAGAAAGATTTAATCGTTCGTTTTGTCTTGGGGTTCACACTGCATGGTGACAAGAACAAACAGAAAAATTGATGGAATTTTAAAAAACAGTATAAGTAATCTTTACTGATAATGATTTGTTTACTCTTTATCAATAACCCTCTGTGCTAAATGACCTTCTAGAATACCCACCCACTATTTAGCTTATCAGTCAACTTTCTTTCCTATCATCCAAGGTCCTAATAGGCATCTAATTTAGAAAACAGATAGGAGGAAGAACCTTTGTTTCAATGACAAGCACCATCTAGTGGCAGGAGATGATGAAACCTCCTGACAACATAATGTCTCCATCAAGACTGAAGATGAAAGGTTTTGGTTTTGGGTTTTGGGTTTTGGGGGTTTTTTTAAAGATGACGGGTAAGGGGATCTTAACCCTTGACTTGGTGTTGTCAGCTCCACACTCTCCCAAGTGAGCCACGGGCCAGCCCTAAGATGAAAGCTTTTGAATAGGTAGTCCAGGCATTCCTGGTCTCATGTAAGTGTGGCATTCTTTGATTCTAAAACAAGACATTTGCATGTAGTAAAATAATACAAGTAATGGGCACTGTTTTGATTATTGAAAGTAAGTAGGGTACAAATCTGACCTACAGATAGGATTATTGTCATACAGTTTTTCCCAACCTTTGTGTAACTTTGAATAGGTCCTTAAAGACTTTTGTATTTAAGTTATTTCATTACATAAAATAAGAAAAGTGATCACTTGTTCCTAGATATTATCTATAAAGCACTTTGTTCAACAAATAACAGAACACATAAATATAACTATTATATTTGGGTTGGGGGGTTCATTATTCTATTTTATTAGAGAAAAAGGTGAAAATATCATTGGATGTTTATCCTGGAGTTATACAAAATTGTAACATTTATACACATCTCCTATTGGGGCCTAAACAGAAAGAATGGTGGTAGATACATTATATCTTGTTGCTACAAACTTCAAAGACTGATTAGAAATGTTTCTCAATTATCAAGTTTTCAGACATGGTTCATTGGTAGAAGTTTGGCAAACATTTTGCTATACAGAATAGAGAATTTCTTTGTGCTGATATTTTTTTGACTAGTAGTTGTTTTGTTATTAAGCAGTATTGCAACAGAACTATCATTAAAGCTGCCCCTCTGTATTTAGTCAACTACTTCATTACGTAAGAATAAGAGAAAATCAATTTTCTTCTCATTCTGGAACCAGTCTGGGATGAAACTGAGATAGATCACTAATGGCCTCATTTTTGTTACACTTACACTCCAGAAAGTTCATATTCAGTCTGACAAATTCCTGAATAAATCCAGCTAAACTAGATTTATACTCTACATTTCCTTCTTCAAAACCCAGGTTTTAAAGTAGCTTGTATCCCCTTTTATGAGGAAAGAAGGAAGGTGAACACATTTTTGCAAGTTGTTAACATGGCATGAGCTGGGAAAAAGAATTTCGTTTGATTAAACATGTGTCATAAGTTGCTTCCCAGCTTTAACAACTAAGCTCTCAACCATATCCAACTGTCATTTTTGAAACACATGCCGAAAATTAAATATTAGAAGAGGTTCTAACTTCTACAAACAGAAGCCTATCTCTGTTAATGTCAAAGGCAAGTTATTCAAACTTTCTGGGCCTTAGTTCCCTCAGCAGTAAAATCAAGGGGCTTAAGATAATTACCCCAAAATTCAATAATTTCAATAGGATACCAGAATAATTTCTTCTAATAAAATTTGAACAATATGTCTGTGATAGAGAAACATGCAAATCTTTCAGAAGTGGTACTGAAGCATTTATTATGAATGCTCTGATTAGTAAACTTAGGCCAGAGT